GAGAGAGAGAGAGAGAGAGAGAGAGAGAGAGAGAGAGAGAGGGAGAGAGAGAGAGAGAGAGAGAGAGAGAGAGAGAGAGAGAGAGAGAGAGAGAGAGAGAGAGAGAGAGAGAGAGAGAGAGAGAGAGAGAGAGAGAGAGGGAGAGAGGGAGAGAGGGAGAGAGAGAGAGAGGGAGAGAGGGAGAGAGAGAGAGAGAGGGAGAGAGAGAGAGTTGACCCACACGCCAGGGCTTTATTAAGACTTGAAGCGATCACATGACTGCGGGCCTGTTATAGCTTCACGGACAATTTAGTTGAAGCCAGCCCTCAAATGAGGGGGGGAGAGCGACTTCAGCACCAACCCTTTTGCGAGGTATGGAGAAAATGCCTTCCTGCTTGGGGCTGATGGCCAACTCCTGGTCAACGGCCGTGAGCCAGGCCGTTGCATTGGTAACATAGCGATCTGTTCCGCCCACCTTCCAGTTGGACCACAATTTAGTAAATCCTCCATCGACCACAATGCGTCCCCGTGAAGCAGCACGACGCGCATCCTTGCTGGCCAAAATCAGGGGCACTGGGCGTTCCGTTGAGTCATGCTTGTACCCGCCCACAGCAAGAACATCAAAGAATTCTTCGAACTTGTCTGAGGGGTCCGGTACACAAATGGTAATGCCTTCAAACAGAGTAGCAATGCCGGTCATGATTGGGTGGTCTTCGTTGTTGATGCAGCCGCCTGACCGTTTGCTTTCCACTGTTGCGGGCGGATTGGTGTTGGCCTTGTGCAAAACAAAGTTGTTACCGTCTACATTGCCGTCAAGCCTGCAGCCAACGTCCACGGCTGCCAGCACTGCATTGGCATGCAGGACATATGGGTCATTGTCACCAAAGATAAACAAACCTCCTCCAGCAGCGTGAAAGGTTGCACATGCTTGTGCTAATCGTCGAAGACTGCGTCGAGTCGACGCTTTGCCTCGCTTTGTCATGACATAGGAGCTGCCAGAAATGACCCACGCAACTGAATAGTTGCCCGTCAAGAGTAGGCATGAAAACTCTTCCTCATCGCGTTCAATCTGCAATTGAAATCCTTTTTGGTGCAAACGATCTGCAATGTTGTCTCGCAGCTGGTTTTGAGAGAAACCTTCGAATTTGAAAGCAATCTCTTTAACTGACGTCACGCTCGACGGGATCTGGCCTTGCTGGAGCACGGCAAGCAATCGCTGGAGTCGTGCGTCTTGTTCCACTCGGGAGAGTGATTGATATGGCGTAATGATTCGAACAAAATCAGATCCAACACTAAACTCGTCATCGTCAAAGCCGCCGTTTTTTAAGAGCGCCCTCACACGATCTTGAGTCCCGCTCGGAATTTTGACATTGGCTTGGTGCAAGCAATCACGAAAAAAATTGCCAATCAAAATCTTCTGCTGATTGAAGGCCCCATCACGCGCCAAGTCAAAATTGCTTGTGCGCGGATTGCGAAATTCGTCAAATTCTTCGGCTTTGCCTTGGTGCAAAAGCTGAGCTAGGGCCGTCCGACCAACTTGGTCCGTAAAGAAGCGCAAGATCTGCGGTCGCTCGGCCACGTGCGGTAAGACGCGTCGAATGTGTTTCATTTTCTCCTTCTGGCGTTGTTCTTCAGACCGCACTGCCTGCTCGTGAAGTGTCTTCAAATGCCCTTGGCGTTCTAGAAGGTCATCCACACCAAATAGTTGAACAAAGTGTTCTCTGACGACAGCGCACGACTTCAGCCTGCGGTCCCATTTGGGAAAGATGTCAGCTGCGCGCTGTACTGTTAAGAAACCGGCCAACAGTTTGCATGTGACGTATTCCTTGTCTCGTAAGACTTTTGCAAGGTCCTCGTCTCTCATCCATGGCTCGGCGACCTGAGCAACGAGTGCTCGTTGCCATGCTGCTGGCAGAGGATCAACGACAGTTTCACTCACCAAGCTTTGAACAAAGCGCCGGTGTAGGCTCGATTCGTGCGGAAACCCGGCTATCGTTGTGTTTTCTTGGCTTGCTAAGCAGCTAGCCAAAAGGTTGAGATCCTGCAGCTCAACCTGTCCATGAAGAATGCGATGGAGACAGCCGAGCTCCTCGGGCCAAGCACTGTGTGCTGACGGCTGGTCGGCAACCACAAAATGTGCGTCGCAACTTTGCACGGCAGTGAATGTGCGTATTGGAAAGTGAGATGCAAAGTGATTTGACCACAACAGACGCACAGCGTCAAAATCAGCTTGTTCCATCAGTTGAAATGTTTCTTCTTCGAGAGCCGCAAGCAAGGCAGCGTTACATTCGGAATTTAAAGTGCTGCTGAGGTCCTTGGTTAGATGCTGCGCTGCCCACATCAACAACCGACGGCGCTGCTGGGGAACCAACTTTGTCAAAAGGTTTGGTGTTCGCAAAGTAAACGTGAGCCATTGGGAGAGGAAAAGAGGATCGAGACAATCCCCTAGGTTTCCTTGTGTGTGTTCAGCAGACTCATCTTTGCACATCATGGTAACTACCAGGTCAGCGAGCTGCTGTCCATGCTTGGCATGGCGAGACGACAGGAGTAGCGCGGCAAGGTTCATGGGAGCCACGGCCGAGAGCACAACTGCCTTATTTGGAGCCTCGTCCAGCAAGTTGAGAAAAGCCACACAATCAGTCACAAAGTACGTGCTCCAAATGTCACGCGCACGCTGCCAGTCGATAGCCAAATTTCGCTGCAGGGAGACGCGAATCCATTCCAAGTCTGTATAGTCACCAGTCTCACTCCAGGCTCGACACTCACTCAAATTGGGCTGCCCTTGCATGGCAAGCACGCCTGTGATAAGTGGGAATCCCGGCTGATCAATCAACACCAAGCGCCTTAGCGACGTACAGTCCAGCTCAATCTTTGTCTCAAGTTCTTCGCTCAATCTGTATTGAATGTATCCAATCCACGTTCGCAGTCGAAGCACAGGATGCATTTTGTGGCTTCCTGGGAAAGCATCAGCAAATTCGGGATAGGACATCAAGACTGTTTCGTCTGATTCAAGCATTTCCACGCTCCCATCGCTGTTGAGAATGCTGTTTGCAACCTCTGTGTTCTCGACACGTGCATGAGCCCTAGCTTGGCTGGTAAACGAGGCAGATGCAAGGCCCACTCTGGCCAGCAGACGCAAAGGATCATCATCTCTTTCTTGGAGTAGTCGAAGGAGTCCAACGGAAGCTGGTGTGTCCCGATCTTCCTTCTTCCATCCCAGAGCAAACTGCTCCACATAGCTAAAAATGGCTTCAGTGATGCAACGAGAGGCCAACTGGCCAAGCGAGGGCATTTTTGAAAACAGCAAATGCGCCAATTTGGCAGGCTCGGCTCTGCATTTGACGGCTGCCTCAACATTGCGCAGGGTCAACACATGGTCAGAAAAAAGGGCCCGACAACAGGCATACCAGCAAAGGAGTTTGTTCTCATTCAGACCGAGTTGGACGATTCTTGCATGGAGCTCTACGACCGTAAGCCGCGCTGACACGTCTTGAATGTTGCCACTTGCAGGCATAGCCTTCCACGCAGCCAATAAATCGTCGTCGTCCTTTTCCCGACGATTTCCAATCAAGATAACTCGCAATGGCTGACTCAATGCCCTCTCGGCAAGTGTTGCAAAGAGCTCAAGCTTTTGGGCTTTATTTAGCATATGAAATTCATCCGCCACGACAAGCAACTCTTTGGCAGCGCCCGAGCAACGGCTGGAGAGCACGGATGCCAAAGATTCTTCCACAAGCTGCTTTGAGCTGCAGTCAAAATCTCTGACTTCTCGCCGCGCCACTGTCTCCCATTGTGGCCGCACGACCTTGTCCAAAAAATGAGTTTTGCCTGCTCCAGGCGGCGAAAACACAACAAAAGCAGAAAGCTGACCGCTGCTCACTGCCTGACTTTCCTCTGCAGTCTGTGCCTTGCTCAAGCCAAGCCATGTCAGCATTTTCCGCTTCCAGCTGCCTTTCAATGTCGTGTTGGGCATCTTTTGAAAGTCACAAGCGTGATGGCTCTCCAGGGAGCTGGCATCGGAGAAAGAAATATCCAACTGAGGAGCAAAAGTGGCCAAAGCAATGTTGGTAGCGCCTTGCGGTGAGGTCATGCCGGGCTGTGAAATTGCAGCAAGCTCTAGTTCTTGCAATGAAGGTGGATGATACAAGGATGTGTTGCAGCGATCTCGATTCTCTACAAAGTTCTTGGTTGTATTTGTGGATTCGAGGTAAATGTAATGGTAGGCCACGCTTTTGGTATACTCGGCACACCACTTGAGGAGTAGATCTGGAATGGTGTCCATGCCTCGAACATACACCAGAGTGATGTTGTCTTTGAATTGACCAAGAATCTCCAAAAGTAGCTGATCTTCACCAATCACGCCACGCGTTCGCAAAACTTCCACATCCACAGTGCGCATGGGAATGTGCAGCACGTTGTGCAGCTGTTGATACACGGGCGGGTCACAAATATAGATGCCAAACTCGCCCGAGACGTGCCCAAAATACTTGTTGAGGGGGTGTGGCAGGGCAAAGGCAGCCATCAAGCGTTTAGCCACATTGGGAATCGGGCACCGCTCTGCTAAGCTATAGGCAACAATGTGTTCACTGATCCTTGCATTTGTCTGCAACTCAGGAGCGCACTGAAGAAAAGATTGATCCAAAAACGTCTTCAAGATCCAGTCTCGCAAGTTTGGGGCAAGGGGGGCTCGAGCACATTGCACAATCCAGTTCATGTCATGGCTCGTGTAATTCATCGGGCTATCCACGATAAACCCGAAAAAATTCCCTTGAAGGCTGTCACTGGCACGCTCAAACTCTGCAGACAGGCGCTGGTGTGGATACACCTGCCACACGGATCTTGCTGGCCACGGCTCTTCCATAGAATTGACGCTCGTATTGCGCGTAAAAGCTTCTTCGTCAGCATCAAAAAGGCTCAAAGCGCTGCTGGCGCGAGACTCCTCCACATCCTCAGAGTCGCTTGAGACGTAGACGAACTCCTCAGACCCGACAGCTGCAGCTGAAGAAGCACGCGAGCTGTTGGATGGCAAATCGAACAACAAATAATCGTCTTGATTAACAGCATCCTCGGACTTTTCAACAATATCCTCGGGCTTTGCTGGCATGAATGCAAATTGGCCTTCGTTTCGCTCGGGCAAAGATGGCAATCCACGAAGCAAAAAGTTGATTATGTCAAAGTTGTCATGTAACCCAGGGGTCATCAAAACTTCAAAACAAGTTTTTTGATGCCTCAGATTCTGCTGAAGGAGCCTTTGCAGACCGTCGTTTTCGCCAGAGAAATGCCTTTTTGTCAATTGCTCCAATGGCGCGATTGATCCTGTGTCTTCGCACTTTTGAAGTGCATCTGCAATCTGGTGTCGCGTTTCGGCATCCTGTCCTGGAAGAGAACGGCTCAGCTCCACTAATTGTGCAACAAACTCAACAAACTCTTGGGCTAGCCCGAAATCATTGAGCAGTCGCCTCGTCGGTGCTGATAAGCTTGGCTTGAGAGCGGCAGGCAAGGAGTCGCGAGAGTTGTGGGTAAAAACTGGATGCCAATTGCCACCGCTTACTCGCTTCAACATCACATTCTCACCCACGAGAAGCGTGCTAGCGGGGGCGTCCTCAATGAAGAACGAAAAGGCTGCAGCATGTGAAGGAAAAGCTTGGACAGGCTTATATCCGGAAGGGATTCCTTCCTTGGCGTTGAGGTGACGCTTGTCGAGAAAAACAAGGGTGCTGGACGCCACCAATAAGCCGCCAACCGTCACATCTTGTGCAACGAGAACGCCGCCGGGGCCTTGTAAAATTTCAATGCCAAGCACAGAACATGCCTTGTTGGGATCATCTTTGGAAGCGAATATTTGTTGCATCCGAAATAATGCTGGCGCGCGAACGACAACTCCCTCCTGACTTTGAAGTGAGAAACTGATCAAGCCCTGTCGGCCGTTGTCGCCTGGAAGAGATCCAAACTTGCGCGACGGGCTGTCAAAAGCACCACCGTCTGACCAAGGTATAACATTTAATGGATTGGCTTTCCGCGATGCGACTCCCTGGTGTGGCTCAGAGGCCAAGCCATCAGCTTGGCGTGAACACAAGTGGCGGTGCTCCAAGAGCTTGGCAATTTCGCTTTCACACGCTGGCGTGGTATATTCTAAAGGCGGTACTTTTGGCTCATCTACAGGCTCGTTGCGCAAATTCTTGAGACGCTTGATCTCATCGCTTGATAGCATGCCATGACCTTCAACAAAAGCCACAAGCTCTCGCAAAGTGGCAGCACAGACCGGAAAGGGATCTTCCAAGTCTATCAACGTCGACGCCAGGTGTGTGGCAATCTGCAGTGCTGCAGACTTGGAGCTCGAATCTACGTCAAACGCTTGGGCGTTGAAGCCTAACGTGCGCAAAAAATGCCTGAAAAAGTGACGATGGTAGCGATTCTGCGCGACCTTTTGAAAAACTCTGCAAACAGATGCCCTAGAAGCGCTTCTGCTGTAGCCTTCACTTCGACCCCAAAACAGTCGCATCGCCAAAGCATAGGCCGCTGCTTTCGAAGAAACAGGTGTGGCGTCATTCAAGCCAGCAAGCATGCGGTCTTCTGCGATCTGAAGAAACTTCTCCAGATCATTACTTTTTTCCACATCAGCAACAGAAAATGGGCCACCAAACAGGTTCAGCACTTCAATCGTCGAGCGACGGTCCACGGGCTGGGGGTTTGGAGATAGCAGCTCCACGAGGACAGCTGAATCAGTGTGATGTACGTCGATGCATGATGGGACCGCCACACGGCATGGCTCGGCTTGATAATTGGCTAGTGGCGCAAAGGCCTCATAGTCTTCCTCGAGAAGGCCTCGCAGGTGAGATTGTAGGTCTTGATGTGAGATTCGACCCAAAGCAAACCACACTCCAAGCAGATTGTGAATATATGCCAGATTTGCAGCAACATTCTTCTTGTCTTCATCAGTCTCCTCCAAGGATCGGGGGCGCAGGCACTTTGAGTGAAGCATGGCCATTGCTGCCAAGTTGTAAACACAGATGTCTTTGTTGTGCCCGCAGTCCACAAGATAGACGATGGAGGGATACGGTGGTCGTTGAGTGTATCCTTGCAAAAGCACTTTCACAGCTTGCAGGGACTCATTCAAGGCCGGATTCATGTCAACGTATTGTGGGGCGACCGTTGTGTACAGCTGCCGCTCAGAAGAAGCCGCTTGGGCCAGGCTGAAACTGCGCTGCTTCGCCTCTCGCCGTGAAACGGGTCTAAATCGTTCTTCAATTGAGAGCAGAGACACCAATGGCAAGGTTTCGGGCCAATACAGCCATTGAGCCAATTGCGATAAGCCACTCATGGTCTTGGAGCGTTGGTACAGGCCAAGAGAATCATGCTGTGCCCACTTGAGGAGTTGGTCAAAGGCGCCTGGTTTCATTTGCAATCCCTCCTGTTGAGCCGCGGGGTCAACCTCACAGTGCTCCGTCGGAATACACATCCATAGGCCCAAATACAGCTGTTGAAGCTGGACAGTATTGGGTTGTGGACGCTTGAGCATGTTGGCAGTGGTCCTGAGTATGCTGGCCAGGCCTCGTGATCCCGTAAATCTTTCCAAAGTCAAGACCAAAGATGCAAGGCCATCGACGTGGCAAATGGCCAGTGCACTCACCAACTCTTCGCGGATGCTGCTGAGTTCGTCAAGCTCCAATGGAATGACTCGCTGGCTTTTCTTTGAGCGCCATGCTTGCTTCAAGTCATCAGAAGCCACAGACTCTTTTTCAAGCAGAGCAATCATGTTACGAGCTGCTGCATGAGGCTCTGCGCCAATGAGTGCAAACAGGAGTTGCAATTCCCGTTCATAGCGGTGGTGTTGAAGATTAGTGTTGTCCCAAGTGTTGTCCTTTGGGCGAACGTTCTGCAATACGTCAAGAAGAAGTTGCCCATCTGGTAGTTGGTGACTTGCGTTCAGCACTTGAAGTAGTCGAGTCAATGGGTCAACAGCGGATTCAAGCTTTAAAAGGAGGCTGAATGTGGCAGCAACACTTTGCGTAGAATGGTGACGACAGACGTCTTCAAACAAAGCAGCCAAAAGTCCGTCAGAGAGTCGCAAGCCCATCTCAACCAGCTCTGCGCTCGCTTGTAAAACCGACGCGCCGCACATGCCACTCAAGACCTTTGCAAGCCTTGTTTTCCGCAACACGCTGCCTGGTGGCAATGTGGGCGCGCGAAGTGTGTCTGACAGCACGCGTCCGATGCTAGCATTCTTTTCCCTGCCGGCTAGCTCCTCAAAGGCTCCGTCGAGGTCGCGTGGACGACACGTTTCGACTACTGCCAGTAGCTCTTGCTGTTGTAAGAGTGCATTGGGGGGGCCATCAAGTCGCAGCAAAATGTTCAAGACAGGCAGAACCTTGTCCGCCGTTACGCGCAATGAAATGTGATGCTTCATCAGCAGCTCTACAACTCGTGTGGAAATCAAGGACGGGTTGTTATCCTTGCAAGCATGAAGTAGTAAAATGGCGAGCTGTGCTAGACCAGGCTGAGCTGAATCTGACCCCTGCTCAATGTAGAATTGAGCCAGCTTGAGGAGAGAAAATTCTGATTCGGTCGGAGCTAGCCAAGAATACAAGCGTCGCAGCATGACACGTGAGGCGCCTTGCAACTGAGTGTCCAAAATTGCAGGAGATATGGCACAGAGCAATACAATGGGTTGTGCGCTGCTGGTGAGGATGGTTAAGAACGTCTGAGTACTCATGGTGTGCTCTGTAAATGCAGCAGGGAGCGCTCTCCAATCCAAGGCATATCCGAGCATGGCAGCACGCATCAAGTATTCGGTCAGGCTCTGCCGAGGAGAGCGCCGTTTCACATTGTATTGAAATAGCGCCGGAGGGGACTTTGCATTGACCTTCTCGTCTGCAGCAAAGCATAACAGATCAGGGGCCGTTGTCTGCAAGACGTCTGGCACAAGACCGAACTTGCGTTGCACTTCATCCATCTTGATCCCAAAGGCGCAAGAAATCCATTTGCGCACCGCATGGCCAGGGCAAGAAAGCTGCCAGGCTGGATTTGCGAAAACCAGCTCCAGGGAAGGTTGGGACTTGGCCTGGTCTTGACCTTCTCCCCACAGGTCGCACCATCCATCGTGCAAACGGGCCACGAGCTGCTGAAGCAAGTCCTTCTGCTCATCATCCGGAGCATTCAAAGCATTGATGGCATCGATTAGGCGATGCTCTCTTGCGCTTGCTCTATGTGGCAAAGGCACTGGGACGCCATTTTTCTTGGCTACAGCATTGAGCATATTCCAGGAAAAACGCGAGCCAAAAAGAACGCTGAGGAACCATGCTTGGCGACATGCATTGGAATCCACTAATGCCTCGGGCCAACCAAGGACGCTCAAGGCAGAGAATCCACGAGAGTAATTCAATACACGAGGGTCAATGCTCAGAACATCTCTTGCGGTCATAAGGATCTGGGGATCAAGAGACGAAAAGAAGAAAGCCAAGCAAACCCCGTTATCGTTGGCTTCAGAAAGCAGAGCCTTGAGAGTCTGTGGTTGTAAGATATTGGCTGAGGACACAGCGACCACTGGCTGGACGCGCGCATGACCACTCTGCTTGGCCCTGTTGCGAATGATGGCCGAAACCGACTGAAAAAAGTCTGATGCGGTGGCATTAAGCTCTTTGAGCAGCGTGCAGATGGGCTTCGAATCTGACTCGTGACCCTCACTATCTCGCGAAGTGCTCATGGACGTCTCGAGGCGGGTTCGCTCTTTGTTTTCCATCTCTTGGCAAAGTTGACGAGAAGCATTGATGCACGTGTCTCGGTCCGGATGCACAAAAAACACCATGCGCTTGTTGGCAAAGGCATCCAAGGCTTCAGGAATCCATTGTCGAGCTTTGGCACATTGGTCTTTCAAGTCGCACCACGCCTGTTCACACAGTGGCTCAGTGACAACAGGTGCTTTGAGCATGGCTTGCTCCACCTGGGATTCGGCGCCCAGCAATGTCAACCGTGGAGCTTTCGTCTCAGGCCTGGTCTCGCCGTAAAATAGGTATTGCCCAATGTCTGAAGTCTCGAGCTCCTCGAGGTGTAAGCATGTGTCAAGGAGAATGAAGCGAATCGAACAAGCGGGGGAGGCAAAGGGGGCCAACAGCCACAAGATGTCGTTGGCCGCCAGCTGGGAAGAAAGTTGCACGACCGCAATAGTTAATAAAAAGGATGCGGCGAGGCCAAACAGCTTTTGCTTGACAGCTTCAAGATTGCTGCGATCCACATTGAAGCGCAAGATTGTGGGGCGCCACATGCTGTGCCGGTCTCCTCCCGAGCCCTGCAAGCAAAGGCGTTGGACCTCATCGAAGAGCTTTGGGCTCAACACGGCAATTAAGTTGAGCTCATAGTGAGACTCTTCGGAAAGGAGTTGCCGCAAAACTTGCTCGGCGGGTTGTGCTCTGGCGTTGGCCTCCAGACAGAGTCGCTCATTCCAGTACGAGCTGTCAAGCACAAAGCCTGACTTGTTGGTCAACTGCTGCAAAGCTTGTCGCATGGCTGGAGCGTTGAAATCGGCAATGAGAGGATGATGACGCAATCGATCAAACCCGTTTCGAGGAAGCTTGTCCCAGCAATAAAAGTAGGCAAAGAGGGCGACCGTCAGTACTTCAGCGTCCACAGAAATGGTTTGCAAATTGCCAGTGCCGATCATTTTGTCTTGCTGAATCCTAAGCTGTTCCAGCTCGCTCAAATTCGATGCTCGGCGTCGCCCACAGTTGACTTGCATGCCCAAAACAAGCACAGGACGAACTATGCCGTTCAGTTGGCAGTGAGCACGGGTGGGTGCTACGCGCAAAAACTCGTGTGAGTCAAATGCTGAGCCATCCAGTGGTAGAAAGCACAGCGTGTTGCGGTTGTATTCAAACGTCTGATTGTTGATCTTGAAGACAAGACGAGAGGCGCCACAGTCTTCAATTGCCTTTTGTGGGGTGTACCACGTATCCAGGTCCGTGGCTTGTGGATCCTCCGTCAACTTTGAGTTTCTTTGGAGAAGCCAGAGGTCATTGGGATTGGTGGCAAAGAGATGCGATCGAAAGTCAGCAAAGTAACTCTGGTCGCAGTCGACAAGGCAAAGCTGGATATCCAAGGGCAGTACATATTGAATGACTTGGAGAGTATCGCCGCCGACCATCTTAACGCTTGGCCCTTCGATGCGGCAGATGATGTTGCTCTGAAGCAACGCTTCAGATCGCGTGGGCCGCGCAGGCTTGCTGGAAAGGGGTTGATTTATCGTCAGACTGACTGTTTTCAAATCTTGTGGAGTGCCGTCGTAGCAGTCCAAATTGGCACGCATGTCAGTGTCGGTCGAGAATTCGCGGAACGGAACCATAGCCACCTGGAGGATGATTTTGGCTCGATCATTTTGCAACGGCTTTTTCAAGGATAACTTTCGGTCGTTGCGCTTCTTCAAGTTGCTTTTCAGGGTGTTGAGATCCTTCACCAAGTCGTTGGATCTCAGCAGTGCGTTTGACAGGGCAGGTAGTTGATTTTGGAAGAGCACAGCGAGGGCAAATTCAAAGTTAATTTCGTCGGCGGTTGGCACCAACATCTCCTGAAAAGTGTCCCATATTTGCAAGAGTTGGTCGCTGCTTCTTGATTTGGTATGTGCGATGGCAACCCAAGCCAGTCCCTCAAGCCAACTAGCAATTTGCTCCATCTGGCCAGCAATGTGCTTGAGCTCGCGCAGCGCATCTCCCGTATCAGCTTGTTTCGAGGCCAGCTGGGACACACAGGGCGGACAGTTTGGCTGAAGAGCAAGGGCGCAACATCGCCAGCGCACAGGGAGCAGATGGCGCTGCCAAAGTCGTTTACCCACGGCTTTGCTCTGGCTATGAGCGCCAGACTCGCCAAGCGCCGCGGCTAAAGTTGGCTCAGCAACTACGCGCTCCTGCACCCACTTGCAGAGTGACTGGGCAATAGGAAGCCATTGCTCGCGATCGAGCAGATATTCTTGAATCAGAGTGGTGTGGCAAATGTTGTGAGAGGTATTGATTGCCGAAGGTAGCTCTGTCATGTCATCATTGCAGCGAGCCAAGAGCTCAAAAAGAGGGCATTCACGCAGAAGTTGATGCAATCTCTTCTGCGTCTCTTTGAATGCTTGCTGATCAACATGACTGAGGATGTCGAGTCTAGAAAAGAAATCATTCTATGGTGAGGAGATTAACTGTCAACGAGAGCGCGAGAGTTGTTGGGAAGCTGGCACGAACCTGGCTAGCTCGCGGTGTCGGTCATCATCGAAGATGATGTTGTCTTGATACTCTTCGTTGTCTTGATACGTTTCGTTCAAGCGAAGCAACTGAGCAAGCCGCCGCCTCACTGCCGGTTGATTTTCGTGCAAGTCGATGAATTTCAAAATACTAACAATGATCATCATCAAGCAATAGGTGCATGAGCCTGAGCCAGTGAAGCCAAAGCGTACACGCGATCGGACACACCTGAGCTCTTGACTTGATTCGATCGGAGGCTGTGGCTGCATTCGGCGGGGGCGGTGGCGGCGATTCGCGTCCATGATCGACGTGGATAGCCCAGCTAAGAGGGTGGTGGCCCGACCATGGAGCGCTGGCTGAGTGACTCAGCGAGGTGGGCGAGCGGCGGCTCTCATGAGCCCGCGGCGGACTGGAGGCCGCTCTCTTTTGAGAAAAAAAAGAAATGAAAGAGAGACCTTCCAATCGTTGATCACGTCAAATAATTTTTATGGTGAAAGGTCTTCTTCTCCAAGAAAACCAACAAACCAAAACAAAAAACAAAAAACAAAACCAAAGAAATGAATAAGAAGGGAACAAGCTTGCCACGTGGAGGAGATCGGACCAAGCGAGTCCGAAATTTCAACCTTCCAGTCCGACAACCACGGTCACTGACTGGCACCCCACCACTGGCCACTCACTTGCCCTCCTTGCACCACTTGGCACCACAAACACCACTAGCACCACTAGCACCACTAGCACCAAACACCAGCGTTGGTCCACTACCACCACTAGCCCCACTACCACCACCGCCCCACCACCACCACCACCACTACCACTACATGTACCACCAAGCTCCACTAGCCCACCACTACCACCACCACTACCACCACCACTAGTAGCTCCATTAGCTCCACCACTAGTAGCTCCACCACTAGCTCCACTACCCACCACTAGCTCCACCTCCATTTCCTTCAACGATCATTCATTTTTGATCTTTCTTTTTTGATTTTTTGCTTTCTTGACTTGACTGAAATCATGTCAATCACGTCAAAGCCTTTTTGATGCGCAAGCATCTGATCGCTGACTCTTCGCATCCTGCTTCGGCATCAATATCATTCTACCCCGCCTTCAAGAGTCCGTCATGGCGCAATCGGCTGCAAACGAAGTGCGTTACTGCATCACTCATCCACAGTATTTTCGCGAATCGCTCATTCACTCTCTGATTCCGCCTTGCATCGCAGGGTCCACTGGACCGTGCGGAGTTGGATATCCGCTCCATCGCGTTCCATGTGAGCCAGCTTCCCATTGAGGATCAGAATGCCTGGACCCGCATCCTTGAATCGGAGGCCCCTGTTGACAATTCGCTCACTGCGCCGCTCGAGGATCCAACTCTCAATGAGGAGTTGGGGACGGACCAATTGCGATGGGAGATCAATCTTTCTCATTTGGCCACAATTGCCCTGGAGCTGAATGAGCCCGGATGGCAGCGCTCCGTGGCGACGCTATGCGAGGCCTCTGATACGACGACCGTAGACGCGCGCAAGTCTGCTGTGAAGAATCTTCGCTCCCTCTTTCAACCACTGGTCTCGGCCCAAGAAGGCTTTACCTTTGTGGCCGAGCACTGCTTGGAGAGCTGGATTCTCAAGGAAGAGTCTTACTTCCAAAATCGTTTTGAGGCTTGGTGTCGGAAAGATGCTCCCTTGCACCAGCTGACAACCGACGCCGACACTGGCTATATGATCGAGATTGTGCGCTTGCTTCAGCTTGACTGTTTTGGTTTGTTGTCAGCCAAGTCTGCCTTGCGCGATGAGGACGTCGAGTCATTGCTCCATGCGCTCGAATCACTGTGTAATCGTCGACTCCCGAGGCGCAGTGGGTCAACCTCGGACACCGAGCACTCTGTAAAAGAGCTTCGCACAAGTCCCCTGCTTAATCTGGATGAGGAAATGCAGCACGTCTTTGAAAATTTGGATTGGAGCGACATCACTCTGTGGGGCAAAACCTTTGCTCGCCAGTCACAAGGTCAGTTGAGTGTCAGCACTCGCCAACCCGCGCAAGAGCGTCACGTTGATACACTGCCGACGGTGTGCTTTGTGCCTTCATTAACACGGGGTCTGATGTTTGCAGATTGGCGAGAAGCACAGTGCAAGTTAAAAGGCAAGATGCAGCACATCCATTCACAACACTTTGCATGCTTCAAAGGCCTTGACTCTGAAAGCGAGTCGCCAAATTCGGCCTTTGACCCTGCAAACTGCTCTTTAGCTGAGCTTCTTGGCCATCCACGAGACAAAGCAGATGAAGCGAAGCTTCTCATGCAGTATTTTGCAGATCCGGACGAGGTTAATCGTCGTCGAATGAAAGAATATCAAGCGGCAATGGAGGATTTTGCAGAGCTGAAACGCCTGGACCAACTACTTTCCAATCCAGTTGCCTGTTTGCAAACACTAGTCGATGCTGATCAGATTGATGTGGGCCAGACGCGACGTCAGACGATCCGAATCAACGTGGCAGTGGAGCCACAGAACACGAGCGAAACCAGCAAGCTGTTCCAAGCTCTTAAGACCAGCGTGCAAGATGCCAACGTGGCAATGCTGGGGATTCTCCAAAGCGCGTGCTTCGTGCTTGTTTATCAGACTGATGATGGTAATGAGAAGGACGGTGCTTCTTGGAAACACGGGTTGTCCTTGCGTGAAAAGGGGAACCAGGCGTCCTTGGCCGGACCTTCGCGCAAACTTTGCGTGTTGGCCTTCGTGTCAGAAGACGAATTTTGCCGCGAACGGGAACAGGGAGCTTGGTGGGCGCAATCTCAAGGAGCCAACTACAATGCCGAGCTACGCCCGTACGCGTGGCATGAACTTCTCGATGTCCTACGGGCGCAGCGTTTCGATACACTTCAGCTGCCATCTTCAGCTGCTGCCTGTCTTGATGGGCATCATGCCTCCGCAACTTTGATGGTCGACCTACATACGCAAACTATGCGAATGTGTCAGCTGGCTGATGCATCTGTGATCTTGCCTATGTCTCCAGATGCCTTTTCTGGTACTTCAGAAAGTCGGCCCGTTCAGATGACTGCTCTTTGCGTGAGAATCCGAGCGCTTAAACAGCCACCAAGCAAGGGCTTTCGCCACGCGCTTGAGGCACTCCAGCAAGAGGCGCAGAAGCATCCAATTAGCTTGAGCAACGACATGATCGCCCAACTGCTTGATCAAGATGTTGAAGGACCGCATTCGACATTTGGATCCCTGAATTTACGTTGGCAAGTTTCTCCGGCAGTACATCATGCTGCATGTGAGCGGTCTTCGGCTAGACTGCCAAGCGACGCATTGAAGCAAGCATCTGGGATCCAAAGCTCTGTCTCACGGGGCTATTCGATTGCATACCAGGACATGATTGCCTGCCTGGATCGTGGTCTCAATGATGCTCAACCAGAGATATGGCTGATAGTAGAGGCTCATTTGGAAGAGTTGGCCCGAATTCGACGCGACCTTGCCCCACTGTTTGTGTCGGCCTATGCTGTTGATGAAGAGAACTTGGATGGTGTAATTGTTCAGTTACAGCATAACCATCTTTCGCAGTACTGGCGCAACCGCCGCCTAGTCATCCTCTCGATCGACGCCGGGGTAGGCTTGGCAGACTTGCAGCGGCTTCTACAACTTCTGAACCAATCCCCAAATACGACGTCTCTGCTAATGTACACGCCTCGCCTGCAGCAACAATTGGATCGTTCCTCAACATCGTTTGTGAGGCGGTGTCGATTGCTTCCCGACTCGGGCGCTCAAATTGTTCCGTTCGATGAGCAGCCGGAGAGCCTTGTGACCAAGCTCTTTACCATGGCGGAAGGCCTGTTCAAAGCCCACCCGACGGAATTTGAAACCATGGTAAAACTTCATGCAGAGCAGCAAGGAGATTCTTTGCAGGGGCAAGCGACGGCTGCGGCATCGTTTCCCCGAAGCCTAGAACAATACTTTGACACAACTCTTGAGGAAGTGACCTGCACTCAAATTGTGGCACTTGCGGTTGACACATCACTCCCGACGAGATGGCCCGCTTCGCACGCAGTCTTTCACGTTTATGATCTTGCTACAGACCAAGCTGCGCTCGAAAATTTCCGCCAGGCTCTCAACGGCATTTCACCACCTAAACATGTTTTGATCAAAAACTTTGAGCTTATTTCCTGGCATCAACGAGAACAGCTCTTGCGTGAGGTTGTCAATTTGCAGCTCAAAATATGCCTCTTGGTGACTCAAGCAACGCTAGATCCTCGTCTTTTCACATTAGCTCTTCCACATGGCGTGCCGATCAAAATTCACGAGGTGTATTCACGGGCGTTGGATGCCTCATGTGACCTGGGGGTAGATGCGCACTGTAACCTCATCAGGGCTGTGGCACACCAGCTCGGTACACGGCTTGGGCAAATTTCTAGCCCTGGAGCCAAGGGCCTTACTTTCAGCCCGGATCTCAAGGCTTTGCTCCGCCAACGCATATCATCGCTTGACAATCTGGCTGAGACCCAGTCTGAACAAATGAATGAGGTATTATTAGAAGGAGCAAGTACGCTTTTAAGCGCTTCCATTGAGCTGGAAGTGGCAGTCGACGTTTCAGTGTATCTATGGCTTTGGGCAACCTCACCGCACAAAGCAGCCAAAACCCTTCAGCAGTCCTCAGAGCCGTTTATGCTTCTTCTGGCGGCTTCTTTTATCACTGTGCAAGAACCTGCTCTTCAGCATCTATCATATCAAGCTTTTCTACGAGCAAGCCCCATTGCCCCTCTCTGCACACAAAACGTGCGAGTGGCTTTGTACGTTGCTCACGTCGCTTGCCTCAAACTTGGCAAAGAAGTTGACCTGAAACCACTTCTGGGGTATTTTGCCATGAACAGCCACCGGTCTGCGATGCTTTGCATGAGCAATGTGTTGAGCGACAATGTACTTCCTTTGTGGTACTGCTACAGTTCGGCAAAACAAATCCCTGCAAGTTATTTTTTTGCTGCTGCGGCCCAGGAAGACAGTGCGCAAGGCGAGCTGTTTTTATCAGTCCAAGGTCACACGGCTACCGATTGGAATAGCTTGTGCCATCGCTGGGAGTCTTTCGCATACGACTCGCAGGAGCTGCGCCTTGTGCTCGAGGCAGGGGCTATCAAACCCTACTACCTGCTTGCTATTCAGAGCTCTAGGCTGTTGAGCTTGACTGCGGAGGCACGGCAGGATGAAGGTGCTTGGCTGACCTCAACAGCGACTGCTGCTTTGCTCAGGCAGCTCAAAGGTCTAGACTTTTTGATCTCGACGTACAACAAGCACACCGACGGTGATGGGCTAGCACCAATTCCAAATAAATTAGTCTCACGTTTAGCTGCAGTCAAGCTAATTGCGAGACGCTTGTGCAATGCAGGCGACGCCAGTGCTTTGCCCTTCACATCTGCTGAGGCTGTCGCCTTAATCAAAATCATGGCACCCGCAGACAAGCTGCCAGCTGACGTTGCAGCATTGCTCGCGGAACAGGATATTGATGTCAGCGGTGGTCGCGGCATTTTGCAAGCTGCACTTTTGGAGCCCGGCGTGCCATTACCCGACAAACTTGGCGTTGCATTCGTTGACCAGCTCATTGATCAACTGGAGCGCAATGAGCCTTGCGATTCAAGACCACAGAACTGGCTGCAAGCCAACAGTCTCTTCTTAGCATACACCTCTAAAAATGCGCAGCCAGCGAATGCGTTTTTGGAAATAAGCTTTGAAGGCACCTTTTTGAAGCTGTCCGACAAAGCAGCTGTCCGGCTTTTCATGTGGGCATCGCTCCGCGCCTGCGAAGCAAATTGGGAGAATCCTTCTGCTGGTGCATTGGTACAGACGGCTCTTGGCCCGTCGGTACCGCATGTAGAAGGCGCCCAGCTCTTAAAAGCCATGGGAACGGCTTCAGCTGTGGAGGAAGCAAGCCTTCCTTCTCGTCAATGGTGGACTGCTGGCGTCATGGCCCGCCGAATTGGCAATGCAAAACCATTTGCAGTAGCCAATCACTATTGGGACGCGGTTTTATGTTGGCTGAGCAATCAGGACACAGAGGCATGCTTGTCGCTAGTCAAGGATGAGCCGACTTGTTTGAGCTCTCTTTTGAAGGACCAAAATTCGATCCCGTTGGTCATTCAGCTGGCAGCCAAGGCGTTTGCTGAGCAGAGTCATGATCCCCAACGAACTACAAGATTGCTGTCGTGGGTCGCAAAGTCAGTCAAGCTGGAACAGAACGCAATCGACGCCATGAACGGCATCCAGGCTTTGCTGTGCACAGCAGGAGCATCAGGGTTACCTTCTAATACTATAAAGGTGGCAGACCTGGTGTGGTGTCTCTTCCCTGGCAGCGCCTGCGCACCCGCGTCATGGCTTATTGGGGATTACCGTGCGCTGCGCGAAACCCTCGAGACGTTCAATACCTTGCAAGGTTTGAACTATCAGTTTGTTGGCTCAGAATCGCCATCGGGTCAGATGGCATTGAGTCTGTTTGCGCCGGACTATGCAAATCCCGGGTTCCGTGCGCAGGTCTATCAGAAGCTGGAGCTGTGCAACCCACCAGCCGCCAGCATCCTTGTCAAAGTGGGAAAGAACCAATGTGTTGCTCTTTTCCCGGGATGTTCCGTTCCTGTTGGTGACGGTGCTTCACAGCTAAAACTGAGCGATGAGCTCGGGTTGGATGATGTTCTAGCTCAGCTTGATACAGACTTGGCAAGTCTGCAGTCGATTGACGAAGTAGATCACTTTCTTAGCAATCAGCCGCTAAATGTCGCTTTGCACCGTGGCTTTGCTTCAGACTTGGCAATCCTGAATGCCAGCACCTTCTGCCGTGGTTTGGTATGTACGCCTACGAAGGATGATGCAACTTCCGAGAAAGCAACCTTTCGCCTGCTCATGTGATTCTTGACTATTCCTGGTGATGCGATAGTTCTTCCTACATTGGCTTTCGAAATCAAGCATTAGCGACGACGACTCGACATACGTTTTCAACACGACAGTTTCAAAAATGTTGCTTGTCCTGGCCTGGTTCCATCAAGCAAGTTTTGATCTGGTGTTCATGGTGCGCGAGGAATGGAAAGCTGCCATCGCTAATTTAGATGGGCCCCGCTTTGACGATTGCCTGTCTATCCTCATGGATCGGCCAGTGAAACCCGAGAAAGTCGATGCCATCCTGTCAAAGCCAGAGCAGGATATCAATCAAGGGGGTTGGCCCTGGTTGACGTTGTTAGACGCCTCGCTACGACCTGAAACCCATCGCAAATTCTTTGGGACTGGCTTGGCCAACTATGTCACAACCGTAGACATTCTAACTGCGGCTGATGCAACGTCCTTGACTCCTACCTTTCTCTCTTCTTGCTCTTTCGAAAACTATCAAAGCAACGCAGATGAGTTTCTTACCTGTGCTGTCAAGCATTTGGTTGCGCCTTCTTATTTGGAACAGCTAGATGATGTGCAGATGATTGGGCTTGCTGGCAGTCTAGCCTATGCATTCCATCAATACTCTTTGAGTATTGCCGCTCGGGCTCCTGAAGAGAACGAGCAAGCCTTCTATGCTGACAACATCTGGCCATTGCTCAAAGAAGCGGAAGAGCTTACTGCGCTCATGTTGGAACGACTTCATCAACTCAATCAATGCCACCCACTGGTGGTCAGTTTAGAGTCCAAGGGCATGAAGCCCCGCCAGCTATCTGGCCAAGCGCTTTCGTATGATTTAGTATCCAAGGCCAGAGACAACAAGATTCAAGTTTATCATAAATGTGGCTTCCTTTCCGTCCTACAAGCATCGGCCGGGCAGCCGGCCATGAGCACGCAAGACCCACGTGAAAAATCATCGTCCAAGCGTTCCGGAACAAAGGAGTCGACAGAGGGCTTGCTGATTCAAGCTGCGCCATGCCCCGTTTTATCCAAAGATTTGCGCTTTGCTACTGCCGTCGAGCAGCCTGGGGTTGAGCGGTTGTCTGGTGGCCATGTCATTATTTTCGTCGAGCCGTTGCTTCGACTCACGCATCACGCCAGCCCCCGAATCAGCGAAAGCTTTGGTGAAGTGTCCTACTCCACAGTTGACGTCAATGCAAGCCAGCATGGCTTTCTCATCGAGCGCCATGCTTCCTTTGTGAATCGAGCCTCTGCTTCGACTGGAAAGCGAACAGAACATGGAACGGCACGGTTTCCGTGTAACGTTTTGGAGATCGTGCCCCTGCTACCGCACGACTGCACAGACATTGATGTTCTTCAGACATTTGCAAATTTCCAGGAAGCCTGGCTTTTTCTTGACAAACATACTGGGCCCAATTCTCTGCTTGTAGCTGACAGGTTCTTGTGGCATCGCGACACTTCCCAATCATGGATCCAGGCCACCGCAAGTTCGCACAAAGTGGAGATTTGCAAGCAACTTGCAGACTGGTGTGAAGTTGTACCGGAGCCCATCATTCAGGTTCTCAAACACAGGCACGCGTTGGAGGCCGTGCAAATGTTGGAAACCATTTGCAAGCCAAACAACCGCGAAAGAGCAAGTCTCAAAGTCAAGAAGCTTGAAGATTCAGGCCGCGTTTTGATCAGCTCTGAGGATTGCGAAGGGAGCTCTGGCAGTGAATTTGAAGCAGAGGAAACGTTGGCACAAGCCATGTTTGTGGCGCTTATGTATGAGGAATGGTGGGGAGAGCCTGCAAGAAACCTGTGTGAACGGCTCGCGCAAAGCCAAACTTCCAAGGACGACATCCTTTTTTTCGATCTGTTTCGCCAGCGCAAGGACGACAAAATTGCATTCGAGGCTGGTGACACTCAGACAATTGCAATGCTGCTTTCTCTTGACTTTTTTTCGTCAAAGAGGGAGGAACCTGAGCTGAGGGCATGGGTTCTCGATGTCCTGCGTTCGCCCATCCAGCATGTGTCAAAATGGCGCATTCTTGCAATTTTGCGCAAAGGAGAGAATACAGCATCGTCATTTGGATTGGAGATTGCACCGGAAGATCGCCTAATTGTGACAACACTTGCCAACTGCTGTCCTCAAGATAGCTTGCGTGGAACCCTGCAACGCTGCATCGACCCGGTTTCCGGCTCTCAGAATTTTAGCGAGCTGCAAATGTGTTTGCGTCGTAAGGACGCCCGTTACGGTGTATTCGTGTGCAAGGCGTATCTGCATCAGCTGCGAAATATGCCACTGATCAAGAGCTGCATCAAAGAGTACGTCTTCGAAGAAATGCATCTGGCCCCGGCCGCAGTATACTTGGCCATTATTGGGCTCTTTGATCGAAACACCCACATGGTGTATGTAAGAGGCATCCGCGCTGCAACCGATCTTTTTTTGAAATGGTGCTGCGAGTACACCTTTCGCTTCCCTTGGCGGTTCATCTATTTCGAGGACTTGTCAATTCGCTTCAGCTTCCCTGAGATCAGAGACCGGTTTCAATTTGCTCGAGGCTCCGATCCAGCATCCGAGAGTGGCCTGACACGCTGGAACCAGCGCGCTTTCAACTTGAATGATGCCAACGAAGCCAACGATATCCCACCAGGACCTGCCCAAGGCGATAAAGCAGCATCTTTCAAAGGTGCCCACTGGCAGCAGAAGGTCAAGAACTTCTTTGAAGGCTTCATGCCCCGCCGCGTGATGCTTTTGGTTTCCCCTCCAGGCGCGGGAAAGTCGCACACGGCCAACGAGATCATGCGAGATTCAGGAGAAATCATCTGCCATCGCTTTGACTGCAGCGACGACCGCCTTGTTATGAACTCCTTGAGCAGTCTACTTGCGACATACTTCTCCGTTGAAAACCGCCCTTCGCTTCTCGTTGCAGATGAGTTTCATTTGCTTGGGCTACGCCATAAACGTGAGCTGTTTAATTGGATAACTCCTCGCTTAAGCTGGCTCAACGTGCTGCTTATTGGCAATCGCAAGCTGCGTCAAGACAGTGGCCTGCTCGATGATCTTCGTCGCCATGTGCAGTCGACTGGCTGTACAAAGGACGACGTGAAGATTGAAGAAATGGAGGTGCAACTCGATCCTAACTTCATTGTGCAGAACTGCCATGACAATGCAAACGGCATCAAAGACGACCTGACCCGCTGGCTCATCTTTCTGCGTATTCTATTTGGCCCTTCAATTCTCTCGATGCGCAACGGGCGTGCCCTTGCGGAGAATTGGTCATTGGTGTGGGACCGATATCAGGATGCAGAGTCGCGGGCAAAAAACCTGAGAGATTGCTTGATAGAGTCCTTAATCTCAAAAGCACCGGCCTTGGGAAGCGAGTTTGCCTCGCGCTGTGCGAGCATTTTCGTTAACATGGTGTGCTTGCATCAAACGCCACGCCCTGACGAGCGTGGGCTGTCTGACCTGCTCCTGAGTGCGGCCTTGAAAAAAGCGCGAGACTCCAAATTTGACTCAACAACATGTCACAGCTTGCAAGACGCCTTCTCAAATCCGGCGATGCAGAAGTGGCCACCCCTCAAACGCGCTTCACAATGGCTTGAGGGGTTTGAAAGCAACGGAGCCTCAATGAAGGTGGAGCCATGCGATTCGCTATTCACTTGGCTCGACCAGGATGGATTTCCGCTAATCGTTTCAGCTGAGGAGGATGCCGCAGACTCAAAAGCCAACTGGTTAAGCGTAGGCATCAAACTCAATGATCACGAGGCACAGGATCTTGCTACTCTTCGCGACCACGTGGTGCACCACCGACCAATCAACTGGAGCGACCTTCAGAAAAGTTGGAGTTCTCACCCGCCTTCGAACTTGGAACAATTTCAAGATCTTCTGCACGATGTTGGCAATGTGCTGTCCTGCTTGACGGCTGTGCCCGATGAGCAATTGGTCCGCTTGGCTGAACGTAGTTTTCTTGCTGGCGCTGAAGAAGACGAGACGGGCTTTGTGGTGCAACACGCTTGTTCACGGATTGCCTTCGACACATTTTGGCATGTGTTTGCACAAAGCCATCCAAATTTTGTTTGTTATGTTCTCTGGCGTCGACTGCTCTCAAGCAATGCCCAGGACAGCTCGACGACCTGGGCGCGTGCCTGTGACCAGCCGGGGGTGAGGCAAAAGCTTTGGAGTTGGCTCCTCATAGATGGCAACATTGATCTCTTTTGCCAGGCCCGTGGCAGCGATTTGCAAGTTGCCGAGGAGAACATCATCAAGCATGCTCTCGATTTTGCCACCAATGCAACGGCTTCGCAAGTCCTCGTTGTGAAGGCCATGGTCTCACATCAGTTTGTGGGCAGGGCGTTAGAACTTGGGGCAGAGAATAAGGACTACAAGGCTGTTTTGACGCTTTGGAAAGGCCGAGACGCCTCGCATTCAAGATGGGCACGAGCTTTCCGCAGTCTTTGTGAAGATCAACAGGGCCAGGGCGAAGACCACTATGTATCGCAATTTTGGGATTCGACTTATTGGAAAAATGTGGCTCAAAACTACGAAACTGGCACGCCTTGGCCCAACGAAGCTGACGAGGCCTTGCTCAACTTGATCCATAACCTGTTGCAGCGAGCGGATAGGCTTCGACACAGCTGCGATGATGTCAAGGGGGTCTTGTTGGAATGGCAGTCATCAGTGAAGGAATCCAAAGTTGATGATCATCATTATGACATTGGTTTATTTGATTGATATGTGAATTGTTAACGACCGTCTTATCAGGCATGTTGTTTCTTGTTCCGGTTGTTACATCCGGATGTTCATGTCTTTCTTCTGTTTGTCAATTCTTTTCCTCGTTTCACTTTCATACATCAATTATCACTAGACATGTGAAGTTTTCTCGCATCAGAAAAATCAATTGATTGAAATACATGAACATGTATTTACGTGGGGCAAAATACAATGTCATCATGAATGCAATTCAACAAAGAATAAGGGCAGCACCTGGCTTTTGTCTCGGAATACCCACACGTCAGCACCTCCCCCCGGCCAGCAATCACCATCAGAACAGGATGCCCCCTTGCGACCTTGTAAAGCACGCGCGAGAATGATCAGTTTGCCATAACTTTTGGGAGTGGTGCATTTCGTGGCAGAGTAAATGCCAGGGCCGTAAGCTCGCCCTCGTGCCACTGGAACCTCGCCTTCACCACCCACCACCAAGCCAAGTTCTTGGATGCTCCTCCGGTTCTTAACATCCGTGCCATGGAAAATCCACGTTTCAGTCCCATAGCCTTGTGCCGCAAACGCTGTCTTGAGAGTCTGATAACGGTCAAAAGCGTCAATCGTCTTGATCATATCAATACGCTTGACTTCAGCCTTAGCACCACCCATAGCCTCGTATTGAGACAACGCCATGCCATAGGCTGCGTTATCTGGGTGTGCAGCAGCAGTTGGCTTGTGCAATTGCCATGAACAAAACTTTTCCGTCCGTTCATCGCATTCTCGCTGAGGAAACGGAAGTTCACTGCGATGTGAAGCTTGTTCCCGAGCGCGCCGTTGCTGTTCATCTGTTTCCAGGTCCTGCCACAGCTTCCGGGCAGTGTTCACTTGGGCCACTTCAGCCCAAATCGTGAGACCCCCTTCCGCTTCAATACGCCACTCCACGTTCAGCTCTCGCAATTGATCCAGAAGCCCTTCAAAGCGGGCTGTCGTGATGAGTCCCAATCTCTCGGAACCCCAGTGTGATCGCAACCAATTGTATAATTCCGTGTGCGCTTCGGTCACCAGGGCAGCCTCTCCACACAGCTTCCAAGCTTGCCACTGCGTGAATCCGGCGCTTAGTTTTTTTGTGCAAGGGAGCTTGCTCTTGATCTGTTGCCGAGTGTCGGATTCCCACTGAGCTTGCGTGAAGTGATGCTGATAAACGGAAGGCACATGCACTCGTTCACATTTTTGAAGCTCAAGGGCCATAACATTGTTGAGGCGTGTCATGCTCGCAATGGGCGAAACGGTTGCAGGCAAGCAACAGTACCTGAAGCTCAGGCACCTCTCCAAGTTCTGAATGTGGTCAATCAGACTCTCGCGAGCAGCGCGCATCTCAAACTGCCAGCCAGTGATGACACAGTGCTCTTCGTAAAGCTTCCAAGTCACACTGCCTTGCAAAGTCAGCGCACGGCCTCTCTGTTTGAGCAGTAAGTAGGCCAACTTCCGATTGCGGCGATCAGCTAGAGTGTCCGCAATGCGAATGTCGGTAGAGATCACAACTAGGTCAGTGTTCAAAATACGCTGAAGCATCTCGCAGAAGGTTTGCGCCTTAGGTTCGCGGCAGGCCAGGACACACAGTTCAACCTGGTCATTGCAAGAAGCCTTGGCCTGCAGCGTACAATTGGACGCTTCAGCCAACTGCTGCAAAGATTGTTCACCTCGCTTGAGATGATGAAATTCATCGCTCAAGACACGCCACTGATCTGCTGTGAGTTTGACAAAGCGGCGGACAGTCTTAATGCTCCGTACAGACTCCAACACAGCCTGCACAGGTGATAAATGATCCTGTTGTTCCTTCGCGGGTGCTTCCACAGTGATTTGCCAGGGACAATCTTTGTCACTTGGCCAGCCAGGTACTTTTTGCAGCGAAACTTCCACTCCCGTGGCAAGCTGTTGATGTTGGAGGAGAGCCAGCTCATCCTGAGCAAGATGAAGCACCTCAGGGAACAAAGGACTCGACAGGGCGAAGAGGCGCGACGCCGCTGAGGTGGCAAGAGCACGCTTTTGTGCTGAGTCTCTGGCTAATTCGCAATATAGCTGCGGTGTAACAATGCCGTCAAGGGATGACGGCTCCTTGGTTGCAGCAGGGGCGGATGCCGGGTCGGTCTTCAAGGTAACGACAGCTTCAAGAAGGTCTCTTGGCAAAGCACGCTGCGAACTTTCCGCGAGCAGTTTGCCTAGTCTTTGGAACCCAGGGCTTGGCGGACAAAAAGCAAGTAAATGCCAAAACTCCGGAACCCGAAAGCAGGGCTTTTCGATTGCCAAGGGACTTTTAAGCAGAACCCAACATGTCTGAAGTTGACTGAGGCTAATTTCCGACAAGCGCGAACAGAGGTCCCACGGCTGCTCCTCAAGAACGCATATCAGTGCTTGGAAAGAGCTACCATAACTAGCCAAGTGGCACGGCCGTCCGTTCCCCAGCGTGGACGTTTCCTTCACAGCCAAGCCCTTGGCGCTAAGTTGCTGCTTCAAATGAGATGCGAGGATATTGATGTCCCATTCTGAAGCTACGCAGCGCACCACCACAAAACAGTCCTCAGCTTCCTCAAGCAGGAGGTTGAGTGCTTTATCATGCTTGGCATCTCGAACAATCTCAGAGGTGAGCACGGAGAGCATGAACTCAGCCTGGGATTGGGTCTCTTCTTCTTGATCCACTTCTAGCATGGCTGCAAGCCATTCTGGCTCAAATGTCCATCGTAGAAAAGGGTTAACTTCATACATGACCTCCTCCACTCGCTGTTGCAAAGGCCAGGATTGTGCCTTGTCATACGCGAGCCGACCAATGCAATCGATATTAACCCAAATCTTACAGAAACGAGATGCGAGGGCTGGGGTCATGAGCTGCGCTTGTTCCTGGGAAACAACAACCACAAAGTCAAGATCTTGGCGCATGCTGACTAGACTGGAGCGCGGGCCGCGAGCGACCCGAGCCAAGTTGACAACACCATCAAAACTGTGATAGTGTCCGTTGAATAGATCAAGCAGGCTGAGAAGCACATCATTCGAGACGCTAGCCACCATGGTCTGGGTTTCTGCTAGGCTTTGAATTAGCACTTGCAAAGCTTGTGCGTCATACGACGCGTCGTGACCATGGGCTGTGAAGCCGTTCTGAAGTTTCGAATAGCGTCGCGCAGGCGCAAACAACAATTTCATCTTTTGTTGTCGAGCAGAACCAAGCGCAAGCTGAGCCCATGCGTTAGTGAGAGGTAGATCCGTGATGCACAAGATCTGGCGAGAAGCAATCGTCACCGGGCTTGGTGCATCGTGCTCTGACAGCTTTTGTCGCGCGAGCAAAGCCTCCTCAAGCGTGAATGACCTTTGCCAAGCATCGTTCCACATGCTGGTTGCGGCACGAAGATCACCGAGCTTGCAATCAAGAAACGTGTTCACAAATTGGTCACGCCAACGTTCACAAAAGGTCTTTTCTGCTGAGCTGCCCTGAACATTACGAGCGAAAGCACGCAAGACGGAGCGAATCGTATCTGATGATGGTGCAGGGTGGGGGTTACCAGAGGCCGTGGCCGCGGCAGCCAGTAGGTGCCTGGTATCTCCCAAAAATGCGTACACATCGCGCGCTTGTCCCTGCAACTCACCAATCATGAGCGTTAACAGGTCACACCACTCCTTCCATGCACAGCCGCTTTCCTCCTCTGTGGATTGGCTTGGAAGTTGAAAAAGCGATTGAATTGCTCTTTGAACATCAGCCCAGTGCAGTGTGGGGCTTCGTAGCACGGTGCCACGGTTAAGCTTGGCTGAATCCAAAAGGTGATTTGACAAGCATATGAACGAGACACGACACTTTGGCTGTTCAGGATCACGTTCTTCGCCATGCTCTTCCAATAGTGAATGTAGTGCTTTGAGTGCCGTTGGCGGCTGTGAGCGTCTGACTGGATCGGGTAAAACAAGGCTTGCTTCCTCGAGACAGACCACCGTGCGCACGCCCGCTGCAAGCTGATACTGTCGAGCGCGTTCAAATTCTTCTTTGAGCATAGCGCTCGTAAGCAATGGAGAACTCTGTAGAACACTCATTGTGATGCGCGGCAGAAGCCGCAGCTCCTCAACACGAGCAAAGGGATCGCAGGAGAAGTACTGAAATATGAGATGAAGGCAAAGAGATTTTGACGTTCCAGGTTCTCCAACAACAAACAATGGAACGGGGGCAAAGATGTGGCAGAAGAGCAAAAAGGTATTGATCATCAGCGAGTGCGTCAAGACAATGCCCGGCAGTTGGTGAAAGCCACAGGCGTTCATTAGCCAGTTGGCAGCGCAAGCCAGCCAACCGAGAGAGGAAGCTGTTGATGTTTGCGAGTGCAAATAGGTCGGGCACGTCGCATCTCGCGACAAGTGTGCTGTGGCCAATACTTCAGACGCTTGCTCAGGTGGCAAGCCAGCGAGGTAGACACACTCTACCGCTACCAAGAAGGCGGGCGATGTTTGAGGGACGACATGGTTTACGACGAAAATACTCAAGGGCAAAATGCTTTTCAAGAAGGTGGCAAGCTGTCCCAAATGTACGATTGTTCGTGTCGAAGGTGGCGAACAGACTGTGGTGCCACTCGGGGCAGCAGCCAGGGATTGCACTTCTCCATGCAGTCTGAGCGCCGTGTCAAGAGCCAGTTCCTTTTCATTCTCATTGAGATCTTGCAGTGCCTCGTTGTTCTCCAGCAAACGACGCAACAGAAACTCAGTTTCCGTTGGAGAGCGCGCATCGAGGCGCCAAACAAAAGCTTCAAGACGATCAGGCATGGGCAACACGTGATAGCTTGCCTCACGCGATTGGAACGGATTGCAAGCCGCCACAATCCAAATGCCGCCCTGCTGTTGCGTTGCATGAATGGCAGAGGGTTCGCTGACAATGCTGGCGGCAACGTCAATGGCATTGCTGCAATTTATTTCATCCAGAAACGCAATTTGTGTCGAGTTTGAATCCGAGGGCACGGCCTTGAGGAAAGTCATTATGTCCTCCCCGGTGGTGCTCGGCAGCATGTCCAGCTGGTGCAAGGCAACGCTTTCACCCAGCAATGCGCAAAAAACACGAAGAAGGTAGGTTTTGCCCACACCTGTCTCACCCTCCAGAATGATTGGCCCGCGGAGCTGATACAGTAGTGATAAGACTACAAGCCGAACCGCAAAGAGGGGGGACATAACCAGCTCAGTAAACTGAGCGTGCATGTCGTGTACTTGCTTTTCGCCGTATACTTGCTTCAAAACACTTTCAAGGTGTTGAACAGTCTGTTCGGGAGAAGCGGCGCCGTCCGATTGCATTGGCTCCCACCAGACGACCTCGGCATTGCCCTGAAAGCAAGGTAAAGGTATCTTTGAAAAGTCCAAATTCAGCTGACCTTCAAACCAGCGCAGCCATTGGTTAGAGGTCGGCAAAGCATTCGCTCCCGCGCCGGTGCGTCGCTGAAACAAAAGTTGAGCCCACTGCATATGAACTTTGGTGGGCTCACAAATATTTTCGGCTTTTGCCAGCCAGCGTGCTGCAGCGGCTTGTTGCACGAGCCGCCGTGCGGCGGAAGCAGAGGAGAGCGGCGCTGGGCACAGTTGTTGTAGCAATGGTTCCGACCAAGGCAATGCTGTATTTTGTGGCAAAAAAACATGGGCCCAAGCCAGCGGAGCATAGTGTACCTCGAGCCAGATGATCCGATCGTGGCCAGACAGCGTTAATTGCTGTGTTTCTGAATAAATCGTTCCGTAAAGTAGGAGGTCCCACACCACCTTAGCCATGATGCGATTTGCTGCTGCAACATCAAACCAGCAATGCCGGTAATTCGGTGCTCCAGAGAGTCTCTGAACAATGTTTTCACAAGCGTCACCCCGTCCAACGACGACTCGGCGGACGTGCTCTTCTTGTTCAGCGATTTTTGTGAGCTTGAAACTGATAAAATGGCTTTTGCACCGAGGGTTCGCCTCATCGTTGACTTCGGAATCGCAGACCAACCGTATAGAAAGTCTTTGCTTGCGCATCAAGCCTGATACAATGGCATGCATGCTAGCCTGATCAAGTAGTGGCACCTCTGTGACATCATTCGGTTTGTTGGCATCCATTGGCTCCAAATGTATCCATATGATCAAAAGTGGCATTGACCATGACATTGTACTTTGAGATCTAAGCAAATCAAAGGCTTCAAGCGACTCCACAAAGACCAACAGCGGCGATTCGCTCATCCACGTGCCGCGCGCACAACGCTCGTGGACTGCATGAAGCATCTCCTCATCGCTTTGCAACGTGAGAAAAAGGTAGCCGGATGGTGGTGGAATCGTGATTTTGTCCGATGTGCGCGACAAGGCGCTGGCTACTGTGCACAGCGCACAAAGCTGAGTCAAAGCTGGAAGCTCGAAGCTATCAAGGGGCTGGTCGCTGCGCCGGGGACAATAGATTGCTTTGTTGGCGGGTAGTTCAAGCTGTTGCCAGAGCCTCCCACCAACCGGTACCACTTGTGCAGTGGGTGTCATGTTGCAGATGAGCTCATCAAGAGCCCGACATTGATCTTGTAGAATCGGCAGGAGATCATGGCCACGCTGATGCTCTCTTTGGCATTGTGTATAAGCTGGTGCCCGCTTGTGACTTGAGGTAATTTGCAAACGGGCACCGGGCACAAATGCCGTGAGCATGCCGCTGGCTTCACCAGAAACGCAAGCTTCCATTTGCGCAATCTGTACAGGGCTAAAGCCTCGACGCAGTTTCAAGTAATGTCGTGCCCCTTCAGCGCCTGCAGTCAGCATAGCCCACGCACTGGCATATGCGCTGAGAAAGGTGCTCCAGCGCTCGAGCAAGTTGATATCGCGTTGTAAGCGAAAGCTATGGCGAGTTTTACTGGACTGCAGAGGCAATGCAAATCCAAATGCGCGCTCTGCGTGAAGCACGGCCATTTGACCCAGTGCTCCATCCACCAGGGCCTCAAGCGCGGCTAGACTTTCGGCTTGACTAGTTTGCCCTTGTATGGAAGCGCAAATCGACACGAAGGTATGCCATTCAATCGCTTCCTGTGAAGGTTGATGGCGTAGCTCGCACTTTGGCATGGCAAGACTAGAATCATTGTCATCACAGGATTCAAGGAGAAAGCTCACGTCCACTTCATCGTTCCTGAAATGTTCGAGCCAGCCGTCGACAACGAGGGCGTCCTTTTCTTCGCGGCCCGCCTTACTCATTGTTTGACCAAGCAGGTCTTTGACAGTGGAAAGATGCGGCAAATGATCAATGACAAAGTCGCCAATAGGCCGACGCGAAGCGTTCTGCTTCAAAGTTGTGCTCAGAGCTGCCAGAACCCCAGGCAATGATGGGCGAGTACCTTGACCGGTTGCTTTGAACACATTGTAACATTGATGCAATGCGCCAAAAAAGTCACCACCAACGCGCGTGCCCTGCATGAGGGTGAATGCCTTGTGAAAATTATCCTCGGATATATTTTGCGCCTGCCATCGCTTGACACTTTCCAAAATCTTTGACTCATCGCACAGTTTGAAGAACTGGTCGAACGTCACGTCATTGAAATGGCTCGGCAGCGACATCAACTTGTTGCTCCAAGCGAGTAGCTCTGACTGTTGCTCAACGGGGAAAATGGCCTCCAAGGGCAACTTCTGGTTCAAGCTTGTTGACCAGATGCGCTCCCATAGTAGCGCCATGGGCTGTGCTTCTTCTGGCGGACATGGCTTTTGCCAAAGTGGCAGTGCGTCCCCAAAAGTAGCAAGCTCGCGAACGCCATCGACCAAGTCGCAAATTATTTCAAAGCTCTGTGCGAGTCGCAGCCGTTTTGCAAATAAGATGAGGCGCATGAGGTCTGGAACCAAGGGCAAGAGGTCGTTGAACGACGGCGGGTGTGGAGCAAAGTATTCGCTCGGAATGCTTGTGTAGGGCCAAAGGTAAAGCCTTGTCACAGTCAAGGTAAATGGCGCCTGACCAAAACGGCCGATCGACTCCGTAATCATGCGCTCCAGCTCCTCACTGTTGACTGTCTGACGCTCTTTTAAATATTCAAGACAAGTATCGAGGTGCAAAGGGCTCCGCTTGCCAATCTTCCAAGCAACACTCATCAGGGGCATGGGCCAGCGTCTTTTGAGGTCAGCAAGGGCTCTTGTGTTTTCGATCAGCTGCTGTGTTGTAAAACCCTTTGAAAAGTCGAAGATGGTGCTTGCAACGCCCAACAGCTCGGTGAGCTCCGACGTGACGCAGGCTAGAGGTTCATGGTCACAAGGCTGGATCAACAGTCGTCCATTGGACTGCACGGCGTCGTGCCACTCAGCTGGTACAGAGACATGCTTCTTGCACACGGCAAGTACGTTTTCACAAGCATGCATCCAGTCATGCAAATGCGACTGCTGCAAGCGCGTCTGCAAAGTCTCAAGAGCTGCTTGTACGTTCCAACGCTCGAGAATTTCAGGCCACGTGAGGTTTGCATCGGGTGCAGATGCACTCAAAAGAGAATCCAGATCAGAAACATCCAGATCTTCAACCTTGGCCTTGAATATGTTCTCCAAGTTTTGCTGCACCTTGTTGATAGACGCCTCACCGATTGAGACTGTGTGGCTTTGGTAGCTCACTCGCCATCTGTACCAAGTCTCTGCCAAACGGACAAGTTCGATGGCTTTGGCATCCTTTGCAAAAGCCTGTGTGACTTGACAGGCCCACTGGCAAAACCATCTGGCCCCCAGTGTCTTTAACCAATCATGTTCATGTTGAAGCAGGCTGTCCCAAAGGGCAAGTGCTGGTTGGCGCCAAAGGTCTGCTGCTCCTAGCGTTTGCTCTGAATAAAGGAGGTGCCATTCATCGATAAACTCCTGAAAGTCGCTCAAACTATTGACCTCGTCTGGACGAACATTGGGCCAAACACGTGCAAGCAGCGACAGCTGGGGCAGCCCCAAAGTCATTTCTTTGAGGAGGCGAGGATCGTTGCGAGAAGCTGCAAAGAGCACTGATGAGAGGGTTGGCGCGCTCAGCTGTGCGGGTGATGGCATCAAGACTTGTGTTTGCGTTAGCCAGCAGAGAAGCTGCAATGTGCCAGCATCACAATCGTTCAAGATAGTGTTGAGATCTCCCAGTTGAGAGCCAAGGGCAAGAGAGGTGGCTGCACGGAGACTACAGCAACGTTGCTCTGGCACAAGACAACTCGCAAGCTCCGCAGCGTGTTGTTGTCTGTCTTCACGAAAGTCTGTGATCATCGCAGCCACAGTTTTTCTGATGTTCTCTTGAAGCGCGTGCAACAACCCGCTGTGCTTGTCCGTCAATCCCCAAAGGAATGACGCCTTGCATACCAGGTCGCTGGAACAATATGTTGTTGCCTCAGTCAGCCACTGCAGCACATGAGGCTCCGTAGCGACATCCTCGACCCTGATGTCGCTGAGAGGTAAGATTCTGCTTAACACGCAAAGACCATCCTTGGCGTCCTGCATGCGCGTAAAGAGGCTCCATGCTTTCAGTTTTAGATCGCGCTCCCAAAAGTGCATAAAGAGAATTCCTTTGCCTTTGGTCATGCTGTGCCAGCTGCCTGAACGAGCTGGCTCTATGAAGGGTACGATGTAGGAGTGTGAACTAAGCGCAACCTTTGGGGAATCTTTCAGAGAGTCAAAAAAGAAAATTGCGTACCTCGTAGAACCGTCTCAAGTGCAGCAAGCATCATAGCGTCCTCGTCCTTGTGCCTCAGGTAGGCTAAGCAGAGGCTTGGATTGTCACGCGCAACCAAAAAAAGAATTTGTACAAGTTGTTGACTGCAAAAGTCACCGAGGCAACGTTGGAATGTCTCATCTTCGGCTTCTTGCTCCCACAGATTGTTGTCAGAGTCTTGCTCGTCATGCTTAAAAAGCTCTGTGAGTTTTGACCACCAAGATGCTGTTGTTGTGGATGGCGGTGATGTAGATGGCGGGACGTATCGATAGACTCGCAAAGCTCCCGAAACCTTGAGCAAATCGAGCTGAGGATCATGCTCAAAGCTGATCAAGTGAAGGTAAGCTCGGGTTCGGCGAAATTTCCCGCCAACTGCTTTGTGGACCACAACACCAAGATCTGCAGCTGTTGACTTTTCCAGTCGACATTTTGCGAGAAGCAAAGCCACCGCTTTTCCATTCTGAGGACGCAGGAAAAGTTGTGTGAGCCGTGTTTTGCAGAAGGTGGCGAGAAGGACATGGTTTGAGACATACCAGATCGTCACCCAGGATCAGAGAATCAGTATGATGCTCCATCCTTGATCATTCGGCGGCACGCATTGCTGGAACGAGCGGCAACGCGGCAAGCATCATTCCTCCAAAAACCTCCTGTCCCGGCAATGAGCATGTCCTGCCCGGCGGACTAGCAGAAAAAACAACAACAAGCAAAAGTTCGGACTCGCGGAAACGTTTGCGTTTTGCTGACATAGTTATCAACATGTGTTTTGATCCGTGTTATCTCGGGATGCACCGAATCGAAAGTGTGACTTTGTGTGTTCAGACAAACTGCTGTTTTGCACAGTCTTTTGATCAGATACGTGTGTTGTTTTGTCTGTTCGTTTTGTCACCTTTTTTTTTTTTTTTTTTTTTTTTTTTTTTTTTTTTTTTGCACGACGGCTAGCTGAACGTTGACAGAGCGACGGTGGCCGCTTCATGCCTCGTTCATGACCTCTTGACCTCTCGGTCTTGATACACACGCACGTTATCACCATGGCCAGGGTGGAGGAAGTGCCGTGCAAACAGTGCGGCCAGATTTTTCACAATCGAGGGGCAAAGGAACAGCACGTCGCCCGGGTGCGTTTACCCGCTCGACTACTTTTGGCCTTTTGAGCAACCGCGGCATCAGATCTCACGATGCGTTGGCAATAGGTCCACCAAAAAAGCACGTCCGTCAGGCTCAATGGGCAAACCATCCTGAGGCACCGAAATGAAGATGGCAACTTTCATTGCCCTGTCGAGGGATGCGACTACCGCCACGATCGCTCAGCCACCCTCAGATCCCATCTTCAGCGTGTGCATGAAGAAGAGACACCGCCCGTGCCCGCAACACGTGTTCCAACCAATGAATGCCCTTCTGCTGGCCTAAAACAAAGGCGCGTGCGTACACGGAAGCGTGGCGTCAAGCTTGATAAGCAGCAGGGTGTTGTTGGGGCTCGGATGTTCATGACCGACATTGGCTGCTTGGTGACTCCCGCGTCTTCAGGGCTGGTGTGTACTCATTGCGGCCATGTCCTCAGTGGTAATGTGCCCCAACACCTGTTCAAAAAGCACCATGTTCGGTGTAGTCAAGAGGACATTGATGCAGCCACGGCGCTCCTGCGCTCTGAGCAGCCCGAGGAGCCGACGGAGGATGTTGCAACAGAGACTGGGCCGCGTGCACCCGTGGAAGGCATTCCGATATTGGACGGCGTGAGTTGCCCCGTTTGTCAGGCATGCTTCACGACGAAGAATAGCCTGCACTTTCATTTGCACAACAAGCACGTTGGTGACCCCGATATCAATCAGCCGCCTCGACGTGTCAAGCTGCAAAAGCCGCTGCGCGGTGCTGGAGCCCGCTGTGTCGAGGTCATTGTCGAAGAAAGCCACGACGCCTCGGCAGCCGACGTCAGCGAGAACGAGGAGGAGCTGGAGGAGCAGCAGCGGTTTAAGCAGTTCATCTCAAGCACCCAGGTCATGGCGTCAGAGGCCGAGGAGAAGCGCTGCCCGCACGGCGTTCACCAGATGCACCCGTTCTACGATAGCGTGGGCATGACGCTGATCCTGAACGAGCTAACCCCAGAGCAAATTCTCAAGCTAGGCCACGACACCCCACCCGCACAACTCGTGTCGGGCATGCAAGAGCTCTTGTGGGAGGCTCACGAGCAATTGTCCCAGCACGGTCTGGCGGCTGCTTCCGTGGCGTCCTTGTTCGAAGCTGAAGAGTTTCAAGTTCAGCCACAATCTTTACCCCAAATATCTCCTGGCACAATGAGCAGGTACCTGAACATTGGGGCGCGCCTGGTGCATTTTTTACTGCTACTGGACGCAATGCCAGCCCTCGAGCCATCCAGCTTTTTGAGCCAGGTGCTTGCCAGCCGTGGGGAGGCCATAACTACAGCTGCCTTGGCCGTGCAAGAGGCGCTGGATGCGGGACTGAGCGGGGAGGATCTTGTCGAGCCCCTCGCGACCCTGTGGCTGGCGCTGGTGAATGCAGAGCTACATCTGTTTGACAACGACAAGGTGCACTTTGTCAACGTGTTTTTGTTGTGCACGGCCGTGTCCAAGGGAAGCGGTGTCTTGCAGGACATCCGGCGCTGGTCCACGACGCTGGCCGGCCTGATTTATATTTTCAAGCTGTTTTTGCTCCGGTTTGGCAAGACACAGCGATGGGCCACTGCGGGTAAACTCAGGCCTTTTCTACAGTCTGGACGGCTGGTGCATTTTTTGAGCCAGCGCATGGCGGCGGCTCGCTCTGCCAGCACGGCCGAGGGGCAGGTTGGAGTGGATATTGACGTGCAAACGGACGGGAACATGACGGACGAGGCGCTGCACACTATCGTTTGTCAAGGTGTTGAACTCAACGTGAAAGAGATTGGGGCCGCCCTGGCACAGATGCGCAACGATATGAAGGAGGTCTTGGACACCCACCTCTTGCTGGGATCTGGTCTGCGAGAGCAACACATTGGCGAGTATGCTCGGCTACGGTCGAAGGAGGATCGGACCAACAGGGTCAAGAATTGGTGGGTGGGCCATGGCAGCCCAGCTGAGCGGGCCCTTCTTGATCACATTGGTCAGACTCCAAGCTTGCGGCAAGAATTTATACAAACAGATTATGGGCCAGACGGAGTCAATGAAGAGCCGACCTTTCGAGAAGACCGCGTGCGGGAATGGCTTCTATTTGTGGGAAGGTTCAACCAGCTGGCGCTCACCTACACGCACATGGCTGGAGGTATGATTGCGATTGAGCAAAGACTCTGTTTGAGAAGCTTGGCATGTTTATTGTACCACTCTTATCTGTTTGCATTGGCTTTGGCGTTTTGTTAGGTCTGCCACCTCAAGCAACCGTATATCAAGGGCTATCCTACAAAAATGGCGTGGGTCGGCAACGGGCCGTGTTTTTCGCTGAAAGGCAGCTCTCCATATTGACCCGTCTGGGTAAAACCCACGGGCTCTCTCTAGATGAGCAGCACACCTTTCGGTACATGGACGAGGAAGTTAGCAAGCTGATTTTCATGTATTTGCTCTTGTGCAAGCCTCTGGAGCAGATGCTAACCAGCTGGCTGGAGAAGCGGGGCGCTCTTCAAACCCCTCGCGATGGCGGGCGTGGAACCTACGACAATGATCAGGAAGAGGAGGATCTATTGGAGGACGAGCAGGATGAAGACCACATGAGCCACGATGATGTCATGACCTTGCGACGCGAGGTACAGGACGCTCAACGCCACTATAACAACAGCCACCTGCTCTTCAACATTGCGCCTCTGGAGACCATGCTTAGCCCAGCCTCCATCTACGCTGCCTTTCGTCGACAAATGACCGCCTACCTGCATCAGCCAACGCTGGGGGTGGCAAAGTGGCGACACGCCGCGACCTTCTGGATGACAACATTCGTGACAAACCAGCTCTTTGCCGACCCCGCGGGCACTTTGGGTAGCCTGATGCGCACCCAGACACAACCCTCGGGGAACATGGCCAAAGACTTCTTTGCTACCGCAACAAGCAACCAATTGCAAGCCAAAATGTCATCACGTCTGATGCATCAGCTGGCCTCACAAAGCTGGCATGCCTTCTTGGGTCTTGACCGCAAGCGCAGCGTGGCCGAGCTCACAGCCGCCAAGGAAGCTTTGGAAGCTCGCCACCCCATAAGCTGGAGCGGGTCATCAAAACTTGCCGCAGACGGGCGCATCATCATGGATACGCAAGCTGAGCATGATGTAGCCTACATGACCCAACTGGCCCAGCAGACACGCATCTCGTGGGGCCACGGCTTTAAAAGCCAAGAACAATTGGACCTGGCAGCGGCCATTGACCAGCATCGGGCCGAGGATGGCTGGCTGATTGTTGTGGCGCCATTAGACATGGACAAGACGCTTTATACCATGCCCAAACTGGGTTGTCACCCGCATGCCGGCACGGTGCTGTGGATTGTGCCTTTTGCGACCTTGGCAGACAATTTGCTGCGGCGTTTGCAAGCGGCTGGCCACAGTGCGAAAAGGTGGCTGGGCCCCTCGACGCCGGTAGCAGCTGGCCTCGATGTGCTTATCATCACGACTGACAAGTTTGTTTGCGCAGGGTCTGACGCCTTGCACGCACGTGCTTGCTTTCAGGGCATCCGCACTGTGGTTATGGACGAGGCGCACACGCTCATCTCTGATGCCAGCCAGCGGAACATGATGGCTCAAGTCGGGGCCTGCGTGGCCTCTGGCGGATGGACCAACATTAAGCGCGTGGCTTTGACCGATACTTTATGCATGTGCGACCAAGAGCGGCTTTTTCGACAGCTGGGTCAGCAAGCAGGGGGCAAACTGTACCGCCTGGAAACAATGCATCACAATGTGGAGCTGCGTGTGCATCATGGCGACCAGCGGGCCTTCTTGTCGCACGTGCAAGGTCTTGTAGACAGGCAGCGGATGACGTGGCAGGAAAATGAGGAGCGTGTGCACATGATGGTCTTTTGTGACACGGTGAGCGAGGTGAAGCTGTTGTGTGACCAGCTGCACGCACGCGGCTATGCAGCCTTGCCTTATTATGCAGACTTGGAAGAGATGGCGCAGAAGGAACATCTGGCACGGTGGCAACAGAGTGAATGCGACGTCATTGTGGCCACCAGCTGTTTGAGCATAGATGTGGACCTGTTTACCGTCCGTCACGTGCTGTGGTATGGCAGTGGCCATGACGTTTATACTCTGGTCCAGGTGAGTTGTTGACCAAACGTCCGCGGAACTGTCTCAATTTAAAAAAAAAAAAAAAAACAAAAAAAAAAAAAAAAAAAAAAAAAAAAAAAAAAAAAAAAAAAAAAAAACAATCGTTCATTGAGCTAATGGTGTGCGTGCAATCGGCTATAGGCATTTGGTCGGGCTGGCCGTGATAGAAAGGGCGGAGCTGCCGAGCTGTGGCTGCCAGTCAGGTGCACCCCAGCACCGGGCATGGAAGCTTTTGTCGAGGGCAGTGTGTGTCGAAGGTGGACGCTTGGCAAAATGTTGGATCCCCGCGCTGCTACATGTCTTGCCACCGGCCAGGCTCCCTGTGACGTGTGCACGAACATGGCACAGGAAGTGCAGCCAAGCAGCGTCTCACAGAGTGAACGTGTCGCTCAATCGGGCGAGACTGCACTGGAACCAGTGATGGCTGATGCATTGCCACGGCCAAGTGCTGAACGACTTAATGCAGCCACCGCAGAGCCCATGGCCGTGCCAGATTTACCCACGATGTCAGATCCCGAGCTTCAGGCACAACGACAGGAAGAAGCTCGGGCGCAGCCAGTGCAATACAGTGACAATCGTCAACCTCTAGCATCCGGCGTGACGACAGCCTCTGAAGCAGGCTCGGCCATGGGTGATGCTTTGCCAAGACCACGTGCAGCGCGGCTTGACGAAGAGGCCGCAGAACCCATCATGTCCCTGCCAGCAACACCAACGGCATCTGACTTTGAGCTTGAGTTTGATTCTCTGACAGACCTTCAAGAAGATGATGCACCATGTTCTTCCGTGCCAGGTCTGCGGGCCAAAACCACGTCAGAGAGTGAAGGTGTGCCTCGGCCCGCAACAGAAGCTGCAGCTTCAAACGAGGCTAAGCAGACTTCCACGGCTTTATTGCCTCGTCTTGGAGCACCGCTGCCATCTCTACCGGTACCTTCGGCCTTGCCGATGCGTTTGCCCGTGCCATCTGCTTCCGATGCCTTGTCACCACGGCCCCGAGCAAACGCGCCCTCGGCAGCGCTGCGGCTTACGCGTGCCCAGGCTCTGGCGGAACGCACAGCTGCCCAAGACTCACCCATGGAGAGCTCTTCCGATTGTGACGACCCTATTTATGCAGACCCTGCCGCAGAGGCTGAGGCCACGCAGCACCCTTGCTCTTTGTTGGGCAACCAAGGCTCTGGACTATCTGGCGCACACTCTACGCGGTCTTCTGCGAAACGAGTGGCTTCTGCTACATTGCCCCCGGCTGCTTTATCTTCGCGAAGCAGTGAGGCTGCGTCGATGCCACGCCTGAGATCAGACAAGCGAGCCAAGACGACGCGCTCGCGCCTGATCCACAAGGCGGCGGCTGACAAGTTTCTGGATGCGCTGAGGTTGATGCATGCCTATTGCATGCCATGTACCATTCGCCAGTCTCAAGCCGTCTGGAAACCTCAACATACCTGTCCCGAATCAGACGACACGTGCACCCGGTGCCATCTCGCAGGGCACAGTGCCGATGAGTGCAACATTGATTTTGAATCTGCCACACGAGAGTGTTGCATCAGATGTGGCATGCCATCTAGGATTGGCGGCCACACCTTGAAGCATCTGCCGGGCTGTGCACTCGATAAAGGCCTTGGACGAGTCTTGAGCTCCATCGTCCTCCTTGCCGACTGTCATCCGCGGCTGCGCCAACTGGCCAAGCGGATGGGATACAATCTTCAGCCCGGGACGCTGCAGACGCGACATTTTCGCGAAAGATTTATCGCATGGCTGTACATGGAAGACAAGCATCTGCCGGCAGGCCATTGGCACCTTGTGGAGTTTGTGATTGAAAGCGTTGAGATTTTGATTGGAGCAGCTGCAAGGGCTGTGATATGATAACATGGGCGACAGACTATTTGTTTTAATGGTTGGATAGTATGATAGTGGGAGTATGAGGACCGAGGTCACCATGATGCGTGGAATCGACCAAGACTTTTATGCAAGTGTGCTTCAGCAGCCACTGGGCTTTTTCTGTCATGCGGAATGAGCTGCGTCTTGCCAGGACGGAGCGCAAATTGACATCGTTTGCCTTGCCAAGTACTGTTTGAACGCCTGACACCTGGCATCTTGATGCTCTTGCGCCACACACAACAGAGTGCACGGATCCTTGCAGGCGTTGGCACGATTGACAGGAATACTGAATGATGCGCCAGCAGGCCTGAATCAGTCGTGAGAAAGTGGACCTTGTAATTGCATCCAATATAAAGGATGATGAACGGTTTTGGTCCTTAGAGTAAAGTCATAAAGCTAAAATCATGACACATAATGTAGAACAAATCAGAGAAAATGAAGTTTTGACTTTCTGTAGCAAAGCTTGTAGAAATCGAAGAACTGAGCTGTATGGAAACGTGACGGCGTTTAGAAAAGACTCGAGATATTGTTGGCTTTTTGTGTGTGTGTGTGTGTGTGTGTGTGTGTGTAGTCACGGTTTATCATTTTTTTTTTTTTATCAGTCGCCAAGTCGAGGCATTGCTGTTGCTGGCGGCGTGGTTCAGCGTGGGGCAACCATCAGTATAGGTGCGTGCGAACAGTACCCGAGTCAATCGAGGATCCTGGTCTCGCACGCTTTCTGCTTGGTCAGGATAGTGAACACTCACAATGACGGCGGCTGGCATACAAGAATTAGATCGTGGCATTCACCTCCGTTTTCTTCCCATGTTCGGCCTCACCTGCTCGTTCGTAGGTGCAGCATTTAGTCAACCAGCCTGGACATTCGCAGACCCTGTGCTTCAATCGACACAAACACGCAACAGCATCTGGCACGGCATGGATGCTTCATCAAGCACTCAGGGTGGAGCGCAGTCGACCCACACATGTCGATCATGCGCTCAAACTTTTACGACGCAGAAGCAGCAAGCGCATCATCAGCGCAAGGTAATCCTCGCGTGCTGCTCGGCGTTCAATTTCATTCTGTCTCGCTCTCACATCGCTTTGCAACCAACTTGTAGCGTCATCAACAAGAGTCGCGGATCACCATCGGTCAAAGAAACTTTCTTTTGAAACGAGCGGCCCTCCATGGCAAATTTTGCTGCCCGATTTACGGCTGCAAGAAGCGCTATCCCAAGGCTGAGGGCGTGAGACGGCACATCAGAGCAAAGCACATGGCCATGGCAGAGAATACTTCTGCCGAGCTGGGCGGCATGCTCATTCACAGCCCTGCTTCGCAGATCAACAACGCTCCGAAGTCGGTCATTGGAGCGCCTAAACGCCGATATCCTCATCATCAAGTTTCCTTGGGCAAAAATGCTGATGCATCGCGCGCCAAAATGTATCTGGAATCGCTTGGTCTGGCTCTGGATGAGTACGAGTGGATACTGATTTGCGGCAAGTGCGGGTACGCATTGAGCGAATACCCAGCCCAGCACCTGAAGCGCCACTGCCTGAACGTAGAAGATGCAGACATATCGCTTGCCATGGACCTCATCAAGGAAGCAACGCCACGAAAGGTACCCAAACTCGACATGAACGGCTGCCGACCTGCGTACCCATGCATCCCAGTACATCGGGGCTATAGGTGTCCTTGCTGTACCTTTTGCTTTTCAACACGAGAAAGCCTGGTGCGACATGAACAATGCCATGCTGGTGATCCAGCCACCACTGAGGTGCCTCGAAAAGTCTGGATGCAGCGGCTCAGGAAAGGAGGACTGGGCTCAAGCTATGTGGAGGTCCAGCAACACAAGCCATCCAAAAGACCTCATGTGGACGCGCAAGCCTTTTCGCCTTTGCTCGAGGCTCAGAGAAAAAAGCACTTTGTTGTCAACTTGCGACGACTCCACCCGGTCTATCAGACCCTGGGCCTTGGGGTACTGCTTGACCGATTGGCACTCAACCAATTCAGAGAGCTGGGATTTAGCGAGATCAACCCGACGCTAATCACGTGCATGCATGGTCTCTTGGACAAGACGCACGAAAACACGTTACACGACACGGCGGCTCGCGAAGTTTTTGGACGACTATACACCAAATCGGGAAATGTGCTTACGACCCGCTTTTATCAAAAGGTCATGCAGCAGAGCTACGATCGCTACATAATTGTGGCTACGCGCTACGTGCAATACCTCTTACGAGCACGGCGCCGTGACAGCCAGCTTCCTGGTCGAATCAGTGACGAGCTGGCAAAAGCTTTGGACGACGTGGAAGTGGCCCAAGGTCAAAATAACACTGCGCTATCCGAGGCGTTGACCAACGTGTGGTGTGCCATCCTTGATGAAAGCACGGACATGAACAACTTGGACTTGGAGTACTGTCCCACCATCTATATTCTTTGCACGACGGTGCAAGCCAACAACACCTTTAAGCAGCCAAGCAGCTGGACGCCAACGCTGGCAGCTCTGTTGTGGATCTGCCGCTTGTTCCTGCTCTTCCGCCGCCAGCTCGATCCAAATGGTCCTGGCGCGCTGACGGATGATACTGCTGTCAAGACGCGGTTGACGGAGGGCCGCATTTGCTACTATCTTGGTAGTAGATTGACCTATGTTCGCAAATGCACCTCGGAGGAGGGCAAATACGGGTTAAC